CTGTAAATGAAGACATATGACTTGATATCTGCCCGACGTCTTCTCAAATGATTTCATCTTGGTTGTGATATGTTCTCTCTACCAGCAACAATTAGAAACGCCAAAATGTTTTGTAATTTTACAGAACTCACGAAAACGTTGAGAAGGTTGGAGAAAAAGAGTGCATTCACGCTCCCCTCCTCCGAGGCAATGATATCTTTTTTCCGTAATCGATTTGAAAAAAAGAGCTGCAAGGTTAAAACAGACTCACGTATGCTCGAAACGTCCTTGTACTTTGGTTTCTATGTAAGTTTTTGGTCGATAATACCCGCAATACACCAGAACTCTGCTAAATTCTACTATATCGAACAGACATGACTCATGCTATGATAGTTAGATGTGCTGATCGGTCATATATGAGATCAGACTTATGGTTATTGTTTTCACAGGTTGGTAGAAACCCAGAATAGGTTTTTTTCTTGAGCTACGTTTTGTTGCCTACGCATTCTGTTTTGGTCACACAAAGACTGCGAGCTAAAGGATAACACATACTAGGGAAAAGGATTTCCAGATTTTCATTTCGAAATGTTTTGCATTGCCCTCTGCATACATCGAGTTTTGAACTCATAACTTTTTCGGTCATTTCTACAGTTATGCTATCGTTATAAATAAGTGGACAAAGGATGAATTAGTCAGAATGGCTTAACCACGAACACAATGATTGGTATTAAGGTTGGTTGGTTGTAAAAAGAAACATATGAGGGAGCACTGGTTTTGCTTTGATCGCTATGGTGTTGTATAACATATAATCGCCAGTGGTCTTCTAATAGGGGATGGTCTTCTATTAGGGGATGGTCTTCTATTATGGGGAGGGGGGTTTAAATCAAACTCAAAAACATCTTATTTTTGGAAAATCAACTATACCCTATTTAGAAAAACACTAAAAAGAAATCTTTTCTATGAGCAAAAAAATTTCTGAAGTTCAAGAGGAAGGGGGCCTTTGGCCAAAAACGGATAAACCTGAACAGGAGGCCTCTTACGCTCTGGCGAAAATCCTTCATGGATAGTTGCTATTGCATTATCATCCAATTAGGTCCAATGATTTCATCCTTTAATTCAGAGTATTTATACGACCTAAAACGAATGTTATTTAGTTTCTGTCAGCTAACGGCGATCTCTTATAAAATTCATTTGCGATTCTCACGAGCTTAAATGTTTGGCTCCATAAGCTTCTCATATCCCAAGATCATTGTACCGCCAAACTTTTAAATATCCCCAAATGATACACTATCCCATATATTCTGAGAAGTAGTATACAGAATTAGTATGAAAATACTTACATTTCATTGTTTTCTCTTGCAAGTGAGAAGAGAGCGAGACTAAGATAGAAGAGAAGGAAAGCAAAGCACAAAACGACACCACACAACTGTTGGAATCGAACACTAAAATGACGAATTCTAAAGCATAAATTGTACTTTTTGGACTAAATTATTCAAAAGTAAACTTGAGGTGTTCGCATCCCCATCCTGTGCACTGATATAATGCATTCTATCCTTACTACTCAAGCCATACAGCTTATACCTTGGGCTGCTGGCGCGGTCATCCATCGTCGTACTAACCATAGTCTCTATAGTCTGTGATGAATCAGAAAATAATAGGGTGGCTCATCTCAGTAGGCAATGAGGAGATTCGATTTCTTACAAACATTACATGGAATTACAAGTTTAACAGTTCACACTTCTAAACGACAAGCTCATAAAATAACCATTGGCATAATGTATAAGTTTCTCAGCCTAATGGTAGAAACGTTTATATTTAATTTCCGTTCTAAAACGTGTGAAGAATAAAGCTAATAGTATCTTACTGACTATTTGCAAACTAATTGTTTTTTATTCAACAGAAACATTGTTCACTCATTACAAATAACGAAGAAGGTGCGTCGCAAAGAAACAAAGAACAATGAACATATATTCGGTAAGCATTGAAGTGATGCTAAGTGGCTCATATTTTCTTTTTTGCCATTGTGTGTTCAACTGACTGTATACAAGAGGACTGCTTAGATCAACGACCTTTAGTCAAGGGAATAAAAAAGTCTTAGTTGTTCATGTAGATTTATGTCCGTCATGTATTTCATATCCTTTGAACTGCCGCTGAGCTAAGTTTCCCAAAAGTAACTTAGCGGGGTTGACAGTTGACAGATCAACAAATTAATTTCACTAGCTGTAAAAAAGATTGTACCAGAACAGGCGAACGGCTTAAATCCATACTTTGTTCTAAGAGAGATTAAGGAACCTAATACAATTACCTAATTGAAAAAATGCTAAGAGTGAACATACATTTGCCTCTTTTTGTTTACTTCATCGATAACGCGAAAATTCTGAACTCTTGTGGAGAAACATATCTTATATTTGGTGAAGGCCACATTACCTTTCTGCTGATTCTTAACAAGTCATATAAGTTTCTTTTAATATTCCTCTTGTCCTATGAGCACTAACTCCTCTGTTCCCGCAAATGATTTGCTGAATTTTCTACGAACTTTGAAAATAACCTGTGGCGAAGTCTCAAAAGTCGGTTATACTGAAGATCAATTTAAACGCCATCTCGCTTTAAGAAGAAGTTTACGAAAAATGCATCTCAAAGCAACAATGTACATTTACATCCGTTAAACTTTACGTTCAGTGCATCATGACTGTAGTTGAATGTTTGAAAAGAGAAGGCGTTTCAAGCCCTTTCTGGAACCTTGATTCTGAATTTTGTTTAAAACTTGTTGATAGTAAAGTGACCTAGTTGTATGACTTTTAAAACTAAAGGCCTTCATAATATTTATGTATATTATATATTAAGACGATTTGTTTTGAAAAGTATGTGTAATTTTATTCGCAGATATCCGGATACCTCTTAATAATTGTATTTTACTGCTCAAGCAAGACGTCTGATGGTGCATTATCAAGCCCAATAGAACCGTTTATGAAATATCAATATTCTATTGTATTAGAAGAAACAAAAATTGAGTTGCATTGGTCTGTGAATAATGATGAAATTATATTTGACCTACATGCAGCAACAATAGGATGGATTGCATTGGGAGTTAGTCTTGGTAAGTTTTTGATTACAAAAATCAACTGAGATGCTCTTCTCGAATAGGTAGAACACCTACTAGAATTAAAACAATCAGCGATTGTAGGAGTTAAATTTCGCAAGCATCCCATTTAGTAAATACAGGTTACTTATTACGAAATGTGAGTGCACAACGGTTATCATCAAATTATAGGATAGAGCATACAAGGACCTACTTATTGTCTTATCCTTAAGATCTGTATTTTAGGCGTTGTAATAAGTATTAATTTTCTCGATTCGAAAAGCCAAAGTCATCACGCTATTCTCGATTCAAAACTTGTTTTTAGACTGTGCTATAGTAACAGGAACACGCATTATTAAATAACTTGAATTTTCTACTAAAAAAGAGCATAGCTTTGTGACGATTATTACTCAATGAGCATAAAAAGAAGCATCGGGATAATACACGACCACGTTCAAGCAAGATATACAGTTAAATTTTCTTTCACCCAGTATCGAAACTATAGGATATGAATTATCATAATATAATACATTTAAAATAATCGAAAAGAATTCTGGTAAAATCATTTTTACATACAAAAGCGAGCTTTCGACTAGAAATCTACGAGCCAGTCTCAGTCCCGATCCTGCGGGACTTTTTACGGGACCAGGACCGGGATCTAGAGGTCTGCAGGACGCTTCCAGTCCTGTGAGATGGTCGCGGTTCCGCAGAACTTTTAATGCAACCGAGACCTGTTTTTTTTGAAAATAGTTTTGTATGGAGCATTAAAATTTCTTAGTTTCTGTGCTTTTTTGTATGTAGCTACTAGTTCTACGAGAAAGAACTACTAGAAAATTCTAAAAGTCTTTCGTTAATACTATCCACGCACGCTGTTTCACGAGCCACATTTCAACGCGCTGACTTTCAAACTATCAGCGCTACTTTGAAAAAGTATTTACGGTACTACGAGTTTTTCTATCGTTCTACTTAGTACTGTCTAAGTTGATAAAAGTTCTCAATCGGCCGGTTTCTTTTCAGGTTTTCACCATGCCGGTTTTCCACCGGTCTAGGAAATTTTTGAAAACCGACCGGCTTTTTGTCAGCCTAAAAAGATTTTTTGGCCGGCTGGTGACCGTTTTGAATAGCACTTCTGATCAGGGATCTGTTGTGTCTAATATTTTTTAACGTTAATCCATTATGATATCAACTTCCTTCCCACTCTACTCAACATAAATAGTTGCACAATTGTTGCATGCCATTCTATAGACAACTTCTAGTTTGCCATTATCCCTTCTTTTGTATTTATATAAGAAAATGCTGTTATTGTTTGGTAGTTTTTGTGATTCCATACTTAATTAAAACTCTTTTTAAGCTCGATATAAAATTTCCTTGACTCATTACCCAAATAACAGAAACAGATATTAGCCTCTATTTTGCTTTGGAATTTATCTGCCCTTTTTTGGGAAATTGACAGAAACCTACAAGCGCATATCTCCCGTTCGTATAAATTTCCACTGTCGGTTTAGTCGTTCTTTCTAATAAGTTTCATGGATAACCATTTTCATATAATCCAGCTGATTTACTAATTTTTCTTCTGAACAGATCCAAACTGTTCGAGTAACAAGTAGTTTTATTAGAGCTATTTTAAAGAGCCTAAGTCTCATTTTATGTATAAATAAGTAGACGTTTTCTTCCTGTACACTGCTATTTCGGAATGACCCTGATATTTTTCAATGAGCATGTCTATGAATGTCAGTTTATTATCTTTTTTCTATCTCTACTTAATATTTAATGTTCGGATGAATACTGTTCATACTGTTTAATGATACTATTACAGTACATCATCTATCATCTGATTCACTATGATTAGAATATCATCCACGTAGAGAATACACATCTTGATCAACTCATAATTTCTTAGTATTAAAATGTGCTTCTTTTCTAATTTTTCTATAAATAAATTTGCTAAAACTGAGACCAGCAAACAACTTATCGGACGCCTTCATCTTGTCGATAGGATTAATGATAAAATCGAACCTGAACATTTCGTGAAGCTAAGTTGAATAAATGATTTTACTAAATATCTTTTCGATTATTTTAAATACATTATGTTCCATTAGAAAATTTTAGAAAATCAAAAAGTATCAACATAACTGTAATAACTAAATAAATACTATTTGTCTAGGAAACATGTTGGTGGATATTGGCGTTGGATGGATTGATGTTGGTGGAATTCATTTCCAAGTATGTTAATTATAATTTGTATGTGAAAACGTATCTAACGATGAGTACATTTAGGATCGTTATGGTGTTAATATTTCAACAACCTCTATTGATAATACTACCGTTGATTGGTTTCCATTGAACGGTACAGAGAAACGGGGTTGGACAGCAATACAAATCAAACGAAAACTAGACACATGTGATCCAATGGATATTCCAATTAAGGTAAATCCAAATTAATAGCAATATCAACCAAATGAATTGTCTTTTTTCGTCTCTTTTATAGTCGGGCGTACAAATTCTTATATATGCATACGCTGGGAATGATCCAAAAAATGATCAGATCAACTTTTATGATTCAAACAGAGGCATTCGAGCATTGCCATTATTAAGTTATATCAGTCCACCGGATGAAGGGAAGTTTAACGGGCTCGATTATTTTGACTATCGCATGACCGATGTAAGTTCATCAAAAGGTTTGACTGAAACGCAACTTTTGATGAAAAGACAATATATAGCTAGCTGAAATATTTGTATCTGTTTCAGCCGAAATAGGAAGCCAGCGTTTTTTCGGGTCGGCACACATTCGAACAAGAGCAAAAACGATTTGTTACGAGAATGTTTTTTTCTAAAGGCACTCTGGAAAAAAAGAAATGAGATCCAATCTTTTCTTTGTTAGCGTGATAAAAAAGTTCAACCTGGGACAGTTTCGAAAACTTAAGATCTATCTGGGGTTATTGATACCGAATTTTCCATTCTATAAAAATACGTTAGATCTGAGAATCACATTTCATACTAAATTGTGAAGTAATTAAAAGAGATGAGAAGTTAGACTATAACCAATGTAAAGAGAGTAAAAATATTTTATTCATGCAAGAACACTTAAATCAGAAAATTTTTACCAGGAATTAAAAGTAAAAATAAGAGATTGACTTTCAAAGTGGTTGGGAAAACTCTAGCTATTCCGCCTAATGTATCGGGCTTTATCAAGAAGAGGTTGGGTACTATTAACTCGTCGACGTTTAGACATTAGTGGAAACGTCTGAAAAAACTTTGTGAGACAAATGAGTGAATCAAATAAGTTACCATTTTAAAATGCGTAATTACTCGTAAAACACTCTAAACATATTTTACGTGTAAGTTAAAGAAAATTACTACGCGTAAAATGCTGTAGATTACGCGTGAAAACATTGATTATGCATAATTGATAGTGGTTCTTTTCCCGATTTATGCTTAATTAGTCTAAGCTTAATTAGTCTAAGCTATTGTTTTGTGTTCAGTAGGAATATGGTAAAAGAATTAGAAAAAATGACTAGAAATAGGAATTCATTCTGTAGAAAACCTTGAAACTATGCCACTCACAGTGTTTTCTACAACTATTTTCCCTTAAACCATTAAGTGCAGACAGTAAAAGTATCAGAAAGTGACTGATTAGCAAGATCCGACAAAGAAACGTCGGAGTTTTTTTATAGGTTCTCATATGCGCTCTTTCTAATGGTGTGGTTTACAAGTTCAAAGATGTTTTTTATCAGGGTTTTCAGCTTTGTAAATCCCACCATTGGGAAGAGCGCATATGAGAACCTATAAAAATAGTGCTTATAGGTTTTCGTACCACCTTTAGAGTACGTAAGAAAAGTGGATTTTAGCTGAAAACCGAGAGTTTTTGAAAAGCCTGTAAGTCAGCCCAGGATGTTTGCACTAGTTTGCCCTAACAGTGTACATGTGTTATATTGAGAAGAGCATTTTGCAAAAGTTTCATCTAGTTTGGATCATGACTAAGCATGCCGCGCGTAGTTTACTCACCACAGCTTTTCGCAAAACACTCAAAGCAGATAGAAAAATTATTTTTTTCGATGCCAAAGGCACAAAGCAAAAAAATATTTTAAGAATAGATAGAGCATGAAATTCAGTTTCCGAATGTATATGATTTGTTTGAGAACGCTTCGCATAATCCATAAAAAGCATTATTCTTCAGTTCACTCTACGTTTTTCAACGTAATTTTCATGCTGCCTTTTCTTAGTTAAATACGATAGCTGGAATGGTAGTTTTTATGCGATTAAATAGGTCGTTAATCAAAGTATATTTGGCATTATTCAAAACTTTAACATGCACATTTTTATTTTCCACCTAATGTCTCATGGTTGACCTGTGGTTTTTGGACGTTGCTTAATGATATAGGGCTAGGTCATTCAGCAATGTCGAAAAACACAAAATAGTAAAAGTATTGTACAATCTCAATTAAAATCTCATTAATTTTATAAACGTTTTTAAAAGTAGTACAAGAACACTAAAGTATTATATTATACATACCAGTTTGTAGAGCGAATTTTCGTCTACGAATTGGCAGTCTCGAAAAGAGTTGATAGTAAGAGCTTTACGAAAGACCCACACATTTTTCTGAGAGCTCGAAAAACATCCAAGAGAAAATGCGTAATTTTGACTAGAACTCTTTCTATGAGCTGTTCTAATACAGCTAAAGTTCATGGTCTAATGGACAGTCACGATAGGATGTTTCTAAGAAAGTGAATTTATTTTTCATTATTTTTCAACCCTGTTTCTGTTTAGTATGTTGTACCACTTGATGATCATACATTCTACTGCAAGATTTTCAAAGCACCAATAACGAAGCGTCATGTGATTGCCGTAAGTGCAAGAAAATTTGGTAATGTCGATGAGCATGTATTGCTTCAAGTGTTACCAACATCTTTTTTTTTTAAACATTATGGCGAAATCGTTTTTGTTTAGTACTCAGTGTTAATGAATAATAGAAATCGTGATCTGTTGAATCGTGTAGCTATTTATGAATGCGACCCTAACTTGATAACGTTCGATGACACTAATTTACCTGATGGTGTATGTAGTCAGCTTATTGGAAACCCATTTAGTGCATGCATAAGCCAGATTGGACCATTATGGGGTGAAGGTGGGGATGTGGTGAGTAGTCTGTTCGTATTCGCTTATATTTCTTGTCGATGACTGACTCTCTAAAACAAGAGAATATTTGAAATATCGTACTTTGTCGCATTAGCTCGGTTCTGAAAATTGTGGTGGGAGCTAGTGAATATGTTTTAAGAATCATATCAATTACCAAAACACAAACAACGATAAAGATCTAATTTTGTTTCATTTATTTTAGACGGTAGAATATCCAACAGAAACTGGTTATCCAATGGGTGGCGATTATCCGACTAAATATTACTTGATGCATGTGCATTATTACAATCCAAATTTGATTCAAAGTAATACGATCAATCGTTGGTTTTAAAAGGGTTCTTTTTCTATTTTCTTCTTCTTTTCAATTTAGATCTTACAGATAGTTCTGGTCTACGTTTTTATTTGAGTAGACAATTACGTCAATATGACATCGGTTATTTAACACTAGGCGCTGAATCAAGCCATTTGGGAGTGACACTTCCGCCCAATATGGATCAATTCATTCTAGATGCATACTGTCCTGGCATTTTTACCAAAGTATGTGTTTAATTTAATTAATAGTTTTCTGCTAGGGCGTTAGATAGAGATCTTTAAGAGTATACCCCTCGCTTTTTTATAATAAAACTTAACAGGCGTACTTGGCACCGTACTGCTTTCTCGATTTTTTTCTGAAGTATCTAAGATCACGGTAGATAGACGCTTTTTTAAAAGTGTTTTTGAGTTTTTTTTCTCGAGTTCGGATGTTTTCAATTCAATTTTTCGTATAGAGTTTGCAGGATTTTTAGAATATATCTATCTTATACATATCACCTTATACATATCCGGTACAAACATAAACTCTTTATCTCTTGAAACACCAAATCTTTCCTGAAGTGGATTATAGCATGCATGTAGCTTTTAGCTAACAATAATTATAAATGATGACTTAAACAACTTTTCATTGTGAATTTTCATTCAACAATAAAATATACAATATATTCAACTCTCGTTAGGACGACTTGCTTCTATTTGCTTCAGAAAAATGATTGTTTTCAACTATCTTAGAACAATATATTGAAGATCGT